AAGACAAAGCCAAATAGTAGGAAACATCACTACAGTGAGGGTAGTGAGAGAGTTGAAATAGATTGCTGAAGGGCCTGGGGTGTTCCATTGCTGAAGTTCTTTGAGAACTGGGTAGACAAATTCCTGTAAGGAATGACCTATCTACCAGCATATGGACTGGTTGCTCTCTTGAGCTTCCTTCACTTTCCTCTGCAATTTCCCTGTAGGCAAATCATTATGAATATTCCATATTTTACATTGACTCTGTTGGAACAAGATATGAGGAAAACTGGAGCTTCTAAAGCCTCAGGTCTGGACTCAAAGCAGTGATAGGTATAAGCCAAAGACTTATGTTTCCCAATGTTTCTCTAAAATGTCTATCTTAAGCAAAGTTTTCCTCAAGGAGGACAATGAAACCACCTAGGGCTTTGAACTTTGGTTGTTTAGGGCATTTAATCTCCTTTCACCCTACCCTTGCACCCAATGGGTATTGTCCATGTCTATATAGCCTATGTATACACAATAACATATGATCTCTCTCTCTCTTACTGTGTTGTGTGTATGCATCATATATATACCAAAATGTACATACGTACACTCAAGTTTGTCCAAAGCACAATTCAGAGTCATTAAATCATCTTTTTCTCCAGTGATTATAAAGCAAACATATATAACATCATTTATTAATTTAGATAGCTATATTTGACAGTGTAAGTACCTCCCCACCCCCAATATTTATTTAGCACTAAAATTGTCTGCAGGAGAAGTACATTTATGAGCACATGTGAGGTGACGAAATGTTTTCAATCCAAAATCTCACTTGTATATTATTTATTAATAGTAAAATAACCCTATTCAACATTCATGAATGTTTATGAGACAAATGTGGTAGGTCTTTCCTCTATACTAGGAAATGTGGTGGGAAATCACAGATCTCTGTGCCTCATGTGAATTAATCAAATTAAAATTCATAGGCAAACTGAGTCTGAAATCTGTCATAACAATTTCTAAGGACAATAGTTCTATGGCTTCTTCAAAAGAGAAATCATAGTTTAAAAATAAAATTATTATTTATCACAGGTTTTAAGTCCTTCTCTTTTTTTTTTTTTTTCTTCATTTTTAATACACAAAGCCAATCAGATTTTAGGAGGCTGGTGCATCTGTCTTTATCATCAGTACATCCATGTCTGTCCAGATCAATTTTCCATTGACTTGAATTTTTCTAAATTTTCTTTTCTGGTCATATAAATTCATGAAGGTTTGCTTACTGACCTTCCAGTCATTGAAGAATTTAGACGTAGCACACACTAAACTTAACTCCTCTGTTTTGTTATAAAACTAGGTTGTCCAAAATTTCCAGAAGTCAAATATACTAGAAAGAGACTGGTATGTTAATTGAGTATGTTGAAAAAACAACAGTGAAACAATGATTAGCTTGTGGACAAAGGAGGAATGTACATTCCTTCATGTGGTATAGCATTCCTCATTGTGTGCTTTATATAAAAACATATCCAAAAGTCAGTTGCAATTTATAATTTTCACCAAGAAAAATAATGATTGATGTAACATTTATTTTCCACATTGCTTAATTTCAAGAAGTCAGCTAAAGTCTGAGATGTCTTTCTGTCTTCATGTTTCCTAGGAAATGTAATTTTGTGTTACAGATATGACCATATCTTATCCTCTAGCCACCACAAACTCCTAAACCAGAAGGGAAAACACATTGTGACACAGACAATGTAGTCTAGGAGAAGCTGGCTGTAGAAAAAGGGTTTGATACAACATAGCAGTTTAAGAAGATAAATGTCAAATTCAAACTAACTCAAAATGAAATTTAATTTAACAAATACAATTTCAAAAAAATAAGATAGTATTAGTCTTAAGTTCTTTAGCAAAAATTCAATTGTACATTTATTAGCAAGGTTCACATGAAAAAAAAGAAACCATTTTAATTAGGCTATACTTCGAAGAGAAAAAAAAAAGATTTCAAACATTTCAGTAATTAAAAGGGGAAAATAATGACAGCAAGACCTGCCTAGTATTATGTTGAGATTGTTTTATCAATAGAAAGATGGTGATGTGGCAAGATGAGGAATGAAAGTGACTTCTAAATATAGAATCTATGGTTAAAGATAGTGAGAATGTAACGCTAAGAGTTGTCCAGAGTGAAGGTCTTTTAAAATTATCAAAGAACTGAGATTCAGCTTGGACATTTTTCCAATGATAGAAAATAGTAAACCAGCTGAACTGAGAAGCAGAGACACTGATTGCAACAGAGACACTCCATATGGAGGCACTCCAATGGAGGCACTCCTTTCTCTTAGAAATGAGACAGAAAGGAGAACTCCTTTTTTCAAAAAAGGGTTGCTATGGAGGAATCATGAGAATTATGATCATGGGAATATAGAGGAATCATGAGAATTATTCCTGTACTTTGTTTAAATGCACTACTGAAGAATATTCATAAATTTCACTGAGCTTTGATAAGCCATCTGAGAACCCAGCTCTACAATAGGAAGCCGCCTCCTTGGCAATATCCATACTTGCATGCCCAGATAGATGCCCAGTGCAGGAAGCAAAGTTAACCCAAGATTTTTACTAGTACATAGATACACTGAGTCATGCTGACAACTCAGGTTTAATAAAACTGAGAAGAATGTTATTGCATTCATCTCTTATGTTTTCCCATTTTGCTTTATGAATACTGAAAAGGCTATCTTCATTGAATGAAAAATATACCTACATCTTGACCTTTCCTAAGAAAGTAATTCTTGATTTCCATTCACAAAATTTGAAGGAAAGAAAAAATATTTCTTTCATGTATATTTTTTCACAGTGCAAGAAGATACAGATTGGTGTGTTGGGCAGCATTAGAGGGGAGAAATAACGTGTTTGTGAGTGTGTGTGTGTTCTTCTAAAGGCAAAAGAGGAAGTTTAAATGTTTAAGGATAGACAAACCATCTTGAAAAGGTACTTCTGCCATTTGCACATGGAGACCTACGTGAGCCCTAGCGGAAAACCAATTAAGACTCACTAGTGTTGAGTAAATTTTGGTCTCAAAAGCAGTTCAACATATTTACTAACATATTTACTGCACAGAATGACTTTTAATTTCCAACTCTGAAGCTGAATCGTCCTGTGTTAAAACCAAACTGTGATAAGATTACATAGTAATGTTGTTACACCATAATTAAGACTGTAAAGTGGAAAATAAATTTATGAATAGAAACTGGAGATTGTTAGAGCCAAAAATTAATGAGCTAAGTTGGAATTTGACTAGGACATGAGGATGTAAATGGTATGAATTATTTAATTACAGTAAACAGCTAAAATGCACTTCTCATTTAAGGGCTTCCATCTTTAGAGGGTCCCAAGAGCTTGACAGGGAATCTTTTTCTTATTCTACTAGAGAGTAAAGTGCTGTACACTGAATCAGCACATGTAAATCCTGAAAGAGAGCTCCGTCACTAGGCTGAACCTGCCTCAACCCAGTTACCTTTGGAAACAAGTAGAAAGGTCTCCTTTCACAAGGGGACACATTCCTATCTTGTATTTCATTTCTGAATCTTTTATTTTTTGGCTGCATATGGGGTTACTTAGGTGCCTCTTCTAAGCAAGGAAGCTATGGATCAAATGTCTGAATTCTTAACTTTAATTTTGAAGGGAAATACCTATAATCTTCTGAGAATGGACCTTTTCATCTTTTGAAAACTTAGGTACGGTGTGGAAATAAACAGAGAATTTGAAATTGTTCTACTCTACTGCACTACTCCTATTTATAAAAGGGTTATGTTGTGCCATTCTTTAAGTTATTATACTGCAAAGGTAAGAACATGCTGCTAGCAACTGATTTTTGATATAGGTCAAGGCTAACTGTACTGTTCCTAAAATCCTTCAAGCCCTAGTAAGGCAATTGTCTTCACATTTTGTGATAACTACCAGAAAGGTGGAAAGAACTAGGCTAGAATAGTGCAAGACATGGTGGGCATGAGATCACAGAATCATAGAATGGTTCAGGTTGGAAGGAGCCTTAAAGACCATATAATTCCAACCCCCCTGCCATAGGCAGGGACAACTTCCAGTAGACCGAGGTTGCTCAAAGCCCTATCCAACCTGGCCTTAAACACTTCCAGGCATGGGGCATCCACAGCTTTTCCACAGGAGCAAAGATGTGGTAAAACAAATCAATAAATACTGATGCACTTTGATCTATGAGACATTCATAGGTTTCTAATTTCATGCTTTTAAGCTCTTCTCCAAGTGCTGAAGATTGAAATTTACTCATCTTTTATAGAACTGCAGAACAGTTAAGGTTTGCTGGGACCTCTGGAGATTGCTTAGTCAGCCCCACTCTTCTCAAAGCTAAATCAGCTAACTGATTTTTGCCTCTACCAATGTCCAGGTTTCAGAGCTAACTAGGTGTAGACAAAAATTGAGTTTTGTTATATGAGCACAGGCTTGAACAAAGACTCTTGAAGAATACAAGTGAAAAGAGATCTCATAGAAAACACCAGAAACCCAAATTTACTGCTCAGGTGGCCACTGCCAGAGGAATGGGAATGTTTTGTGGTAGCTAGCTTTGATGGAGCCTGTTCCTATACCCCTCTGGTAATTATGGTCTACACAGTGTCCCTGTCAATGCTAGAGGTGGAGCAGCAGCCAGTGAGACTAACCAAAGTTTTGGCACAGCCAAAAGTCAATGAAAACAAGGTTATTTGGCTGTTCTGGATAGTCTGCTGCCCTGAGCAACTCTTTTACAGCCAGTACCAGCTACAAACAGGGACAGTTAAGTAACTGTGAAAACAAAGTAAGTGTGGGTGTGGGGGATCATTTAAATGCTTACAGCACACAACCTGGAAAACTGGATGTTGTTAGTGCTTATTGATGCCTACAAACCACATGAGTGAGCCCCTGTTCTTTGCTGCAGTGAGGAATCTCACATTGATCATAAAACTGCAAAAGGGAGAAAGCAAAAAACTGGGATTCACATTGCCTTTAAAGGAGATGAATCATTCACCCACCTGGGTGGGAAGAGTTTCTTTCTCCTAGAGAGGTACACTGCCAGTCTTACAGATGGTACAGACCCATGGCTTCACCCTTTCCTGCAAAGGCAAACAACCACATATTTAGTTATGTTCTCATATGCTTAATGCATGTATTTGGTAATATCTTTTATTATATAACCAGTAGAACCATTTCAAGTCTGAATTTATTTTGAAGCCTTAGATTTTCACACTTGTAAACTGAAACCAAAGAAATTATATTTTCATTTTTTCATTTATCTGCAACTAGGAAAGTGAAAAATTAGGAAGCAAATAAAATAAAATAAAATAAAATAAAAATTAAATCAGTCACATCTCCAAAGAAGTAATTCAATTTATGTCTTTATTTCCCAAGCCGGTAGTTTGCTGCAAAAACTCAGTTCTTGATTAATATGCATCATTAATCATTTAAATAAAAGTGGACCCTTTAATTTCAATGAACAAACAATGCCATTTGACTGTTAATTCAACATTAGAAATTAGAAATCTTCAGACATGTTAGTTGACAGAATATGCTTAATAAAAATGAAAAAGCCTTGCTCCAAGGGTCATCCAGTCATGAATATTGTTAAGTAAGTTCTCCTTCTTTTTATCTTGCATACCTATATAAACTTTAAAAAAAAAAAAAAAAAAAAAAGATAAAAGCAATCTTAAAATAAGAGAAGTGAATAATGGTTCCGATAATTAGAATCTGAAGAAAGTGAGACTTCAGAAAGGCAGCAAGATGACATGTCAGTGCATGCCTGACTCTTCTAGTCATCAATGAAAATTTTGCAATTACAATGTAACTTCTTAAAAATACAAGAAATATAAACATTCAAATATGTTTTGTCTTCTTGATAAAAATTACTTTCCATAAGAATTAATGCTAACTCTTAGAGTTCTGTACTATAGGAAAGATACCACACACTAATCAGGTATAATGATTGTAGAATTATTTTTTAGAAGTGGTAAATATAGAAAGGTTATAGACTAAGCCAGAACTCTTAGATTCAGGTCTGTATACAGATTTAGCACTACTTACATAAAAAGGATTACCTCATCTTTATATCAGCTCAGAAATAGACCAGAGAGTACTTTTTGAAGAGCAGTTTTAGGGAGTTAATTCAGCTTGTAATCAATGTTCTTCCAGTTTTGACTGCATCTGAAGAAAACAGCCCAGATGGTAAGACAAAGTACTCAAGGACTTTCTCTTTTTCACTGTCAGGAATACTGGTGATTCAGGTAATATATTGTCCTCGGCCAGGGTTCATGTAAACAGACAGTGTTGATGGGTCAAGCTGATAGTGGAACACTGCAGTCCTAAAGTCACCAAAGCTAGGTGATTGCTCTTTGTCACTGAAAATCCTCAGATGGACTGAAAATAAGAATCCTCTGGACTTTGATTCCATTCATAGTTGATGTAATTACATCAGCTAATTATGTTGGTGTAAATAATTCAATGGAATACAGGACTGTATATCTCTCAGCCTTTTTAAGTGTTAGGGATTTTCAGTCTCATTTTTGTGTATGTAATTGACCGTAATTTTCCATTCTACATATACACATGAGACCTGAAAGCTTACAGGTGATGATAAGAAGGCTGAAATGCTCTGTTTATTCTAGGATAGGTTACCAAATGATTCCAAGAATTTTATGAACGGGGGTGGGGGAGAATTACAACAAATCTTAATGGGTTTTTGATACTTTAGTGGCACGAACATGAAATGAAACCTTGTGTAGACAGAGAATGTAGTAAAAAGTCCAGAAAATAAACTATGGATAAAGATTACAGTCTATGGTTTGAAGGGAAAATGATCATTAAATCATAAATTTGAAATATAAAATTATGAATTATGTACTGATTAAATTATAAACCTAGTAGTGATATTAAATTAGAAATGTATTTCTTAGATCCAAAGATGTTTTAGGAACATACATGATCCTGACTTTGTTTTCAGATTCAAAAGGTGTATCTATTCTGATATGCTGCTGGGCAGTGTTACCAGATCAGCACAATGCGAAATGAAACAGAAAAGCATAGGTTGCCAGAGGCCAGGCATATGAAGATTCTGAGATATTTGCATAGGTTGTTAGAAGCTGCGTGTACTAATCTGAAGGGACACATTTGCTGTAGGAACACATTGCTCTGTATTCAAATTACTCATATTCTATTTCATCCTTAGCTTATAATCATGCTGAATATCCTGTACAGCAAGAGCTTAGCTATGGTGTAGTCCCCAAATCAGAAGGCTGCATCAATGCATTAATTACATTTCCCTTAGTACACACAGATGACTCTACGATGGATGAAAAGAGCTGAAAACATTAAAGACAGGAAAGTTAGGACAGAACTTCTGGATTAAATGGAGGTTATTAGGTTCAGATTGTGTTTTGAATGAGAAGTCTTAAAGTTAAATGGATTACCCATCAAGATCAATCCATTGTAATTAGAAAGCACCCAAAATCCCTGACCTTATATAAAATCAAGATATATTGGTGGAACAGCTTTTAATAATACATCAAGTACCAAAGTTTATATTAAGGTCACTTGTAACTATGCCTGCACCATTCCAATGCTTTTGTCAATCACTCCCTGAATCGGTCATAAAATGCTTCTATGTTCTCATTTGCAGCTCTGGTAATTGGGACATAAATCTGGAGAGTAGTCAGAGTAAGGTAAAATGTAACAAAATGGTGTGTTCCCTTGTTGGACTCTATCTCAGCACAGTATTTTCATGTTGACTAGTGACAGATGTGTTGTATTCTCAAGCAAGATCAAAAATAGCTAGAGCAATAAAGCCCATTGTTTAAAGGCTTTTGTTATACTAGATTTGTGACATTCAAGTAATCTTTTTTTTTTTCTCCCTAAAATGTTGGTCAATGACAGTTTCAGTAAGATTCTTCTCTTCTCTTCTCTTTTAGTCAGTAAGGAAAACTTGCAGTACTAATTCAGATACCATAGGATACAACAGAATGGGATTTATGGTCTTCCTGTTTTTATTTTTTAAGTATAGTGCTTGAACTTAATCTCTTAGTTTGTAATTAGAATTTACCAAAAACCTTATTAATGTTAGGGTAAAAAAATATTTTAGAAGAAGACAAATGGACAATGAGATGTGGAAAGTCTCACGCTTCCTTCTCTGGCTTTGTTTTTTTACCCAGTGTATCATGGTTTACAGCTCATTAAGTGTCCTTATCTGAAAATATTTGCCAAAGACATACAGATCAACAAAACATACAATTAAAAAACAAACAAACAAACAAACAAACAAAAACCACACAGGTGCTTTATTGTACTGTAACTAACATTGATATAGTAAGACCACTGCTCATGATTCTGGGTACTTCTAAACAGGACTGTTTCCTTCTAAAAACTTGACAACAGTGCACTTGTTTCTGGGATAGGAAACCATAAAAAAAAAATCTACGATCCAAGTTAAGATTCATGTGCCATGGGCCAGGAAGAAGCTTACTCTCAAGTTACTTCATACCACATAATTACAGTTATTATTCATCTATTTCACAAGAAGTAAAACTGCTGAAGTATAGCTCAAGAATTAGTTAACAGTGCTGTGGAGAGATCTAAGCCCAGTAGCAGCACAGGAAAAATAATTGAGTCATTGTAGCTCCAAACAATGGGCTGAAGAAAACCATACTCTTTGCCTGCGGGTAAAAACTGCTGTAAATTCAAGTTCTGTACTTTTGTTCTGTCAGAAAAAAATAAATTTAAAAAAAAAAAGGAAAAAAAAAAGAAAAAAAATACCTTCTGCAAAATACACTATGCCCTAGGCTATCAAACACTATAATAATGTGTATCTTAAACCATCCTAAAAATGGAGATTTTTACTCCTCAGTTTGACCAGCAAGTCCTTGCTCAGCCATATTGGTTTCCTACATTGCATGCTTGATTTCTTACACATAGGGACAAAAAGCTCTCATGCTTTAAGAAAAGTGTCCTTAAAGAGTTGACAGCTCTGATCAGTTCCTCTTTCCCTACAGCATCCCAGGGGATCTAATCCACTAGGTCTTTAAACACCTGCTTTAAATTTCAGGGTCCTGACTTTGTTCTTTGCCAGGCTCAAGAACATGAACTGAGCCAGCGTGTGGTAACTGCAGCCCAGACAGTCTGCAATCTTCGTCTCTTTATGAGTTCATCCAGACTGGTGAGCACCAGGTCCAGTAATGCTTTTCCTTCAGTTGGCTTGTCTGGTACCTAGACCAGGAAGTTATCCTTTACACTCTCCAGGAGTTTCCTGCATTGCTTACAGCCTGCTGCATAGCTTTCACAGCAGGTAGTTGAAATCCCCCACAAGGTTGGGCACTGTCCTTAGGGTTATCTGATCTGAAGTGATAAGCACCTTTCCCCTGGACCTAATTAAAATTAAATGCATGTAGGAGTGGTATCTAATTCACTCTTAATGGGACTTTCAGCCCAGAGCGGTCAGATCAGCCTGGCTGAGTGGCCTCTCCAGAGAAGTCCATGACTTATGATCTTCATTATTTACTTGTACATTGTAGGAATGGGTTTGGAGCATGGAGAAAATATTAGATCAACTAGCCTTGGCGCCCAAAAATTGCTACCCAACAAAAGAGCAGTAAAAAATACTGAGTAAGCTGCAACAATATCTTTCTGACTGAGGATGGTAAAAGATCAGAGACATTTTTCTTTTGACAAATCGAGGCTGAGCTGCTGGAATCATCCCTAGAGATAAGAATTTCATTCATTATGCAGCCCTTCTCCCATTCTCCCTGCCAAGAACACACATTTAGGGCTTTATTTTGCAACCATTCAAAGACAAAAATATCTATTCATTAAAATTAATACGCTTTTCCTAAAAGGACATTTACTGTAGGGAGAAGGTAGATTTGATTGCACTGGTAACCAATTCTGCATTGGTTTCAAGAACAGTAATCTGAGCTGAATGATCCTTTGCAGATAATCTATCAAATCAGTTTTTACCATCTCTTTTATTTGATCTGTAGCTTTTAAAACTTGATTCAACACATCATGTTAAAAAAAAAATCCATTTTCCTCCAAAAGTAAATTTTCTCTTTATCTGTTTTTCCTTACACAAGTC